TTGTGTAAATGACCCACCCAGATGAGGGCCCCCCTTGAAAAAAGATTGACCGTTTATCATGAAATTAGTGTGAATCATTGCCTGACTGATACCCCCTACCCTCCACCCGATTCCCTCCACCCGATTCCCTCCCCCCATCCTCCACTTGATACCCTCTGCCTCCAGATAGAGGGGGTTAGTCTTCATGAATTTAGCCCTGCTCTGTCTCTTTTACTGCTGCCGCTGGGTAGGCCGCCGCTGACAGAGGTTGTTCCCCTCTTTTCATCATTATGTCTTTCCTTCTGTGATGGCAGAATTACTCCCCCCCGTTTCCCCCTTTGTCTCTGCCCACTTCCGGAACCAATTTCAGCTCTTGACCAAGTGACCTGGAGTTGAATTCCTGCAAACTAGAAGCAGCTTACCTGGATAAACTTTGTGCACAGCAGTGGGTGTTGTTTGTCCTGCAAGGACCTTTTTGTTGTAGCAGTCTCTCCCTCACCCCCAAGTCATAGTTCTACTCATTACAGATTTCAGTCATGAGATCACACAGGTGCTAAAGCCCAGGATTCAGAATCTCGTTTCTGGGAATTTCAGTTGATGAGAAATAAAGCGAAATGTGAGGGAAACCACTGAAACTTGCGAAGACATTGAAGTGTGTCCTAAAACTTATTTCATTAGGATTAACCGACTTGGTTTTTTTTCTGTGCCTTGATATTAACATTTTCTAGTACTTTTATATAATTTCAATAAACAAGCGTGTGTCAATTGATACAGGCAGTTTCATTTTAGAGCCCCTGTGAGACATTTTTGCAACCCTTCCCTGTGCAACTGCCCTTGAATTGAACACTGCCCTCTGCAGTTTGGCTCTGTGCAGCCAATGAAGTCTCACTGGATGTACATGTATTCATGTGGACCACACTTTGGCAAAGCCACTGAATGAAACTGTATTTGGATGAAAGAATGCACAGAATTATTTGTACAATTTGAAAGAGGAATCATCTTCACCAGTTATTTCCTTACCATATTTCACATTCTCACCGATTGAAACAAAACTGTTTATCCCCCCAGAAATATGTATGTCTGTTAAAAATTTTCATTAGAGCAAAAATGTATTGGATACTTGTAAAATCTTTCCAGTTCTGCCTAAAAAACAGACCTTAAAATAGGAAAAATTATCTGATAAGACCATGCATACATTTCTTCCCGTAAGGATTACGGTGTCCCTCACTTGGACACAATCAATATTTATTTGTAACATTCTGAAACTGTTTTCTGTCTGATGTAGGAACTGACCTTAAATTGACAATTAAATGGGAGCCAGTTTCAGAATGCTGTTTACTGTTAAGCAAATTATTCTTGCCAACCACAGCGCAAATATTTGCTTAAAGGGTAACAGAAATAGAACACGATTAGTTCACATGAAGTATTTTAAAATAACAATAAATACGTAACCATTTCGAAAACATTGTGAATGTAATGTTCATCCCATTAGTTGTGACCCAAAAATGAATAAAAAGATCCTGCATTTCCACACCCGCAAAAAATCCCCTTTTTGCCATTTGCTCCCAGACTAATTCAATGACATCATCGGCAGACCACTAACAGGTACAGTGTACGTATACATTGCGCACAGTACATGCAGTATCACACACTTCAAAAGACCACATTGTGTTCGATGTAGCTTGGCCCACAGGCAAACACTGTCTCAGTTCAAGAAATACACGGTAGGACAGTGTCTTTTAATCTACCTTGAACTGAGGGCGCATATAAAGATTTCCATTGTTACATCACTAAGTTAAGTAAGTTTTCCTGCTTACTGTCCCTGCAATATGCGGAGCCTCTGTCAACTTAAATTGTGTACATCGAAGCACTGTGAAATTAGGCCATGATGTACAACTGACAAAAAGTCTTAATCATGTGATTTTGAGTTCTGGTATTGATCTGATTAAATGAGCTCACTCTTTCTGGTCGTGCTGTCTGTACAGCCATCATAAATATCCATGATTTTGGAGGTGGAAAAGAAATTATGATTGGCTAATGTAGCCACCAATCACACAACTGGTTGTTGGGACATGCCTTGTGTATGGTTGTTATAGTAGACAGTGAATTTATGTCCAATACTCTTCTGAAATCACCAGCCAGGAAATAAGACAGATGTAGGGAGAAAAGCTTTGCTGTGAAATGGAAGGTAATAAGTCTGAGAAAGACTTTACCTTCTTTTAGAATCATGGCAAAAGCTGAGTTTTGAATAAATTTTAAATCCAGGATGTTGTGCCAATGCTCTGACATCTAAGCTGTCTAGCCCTGTGTTGGTTGTTCCTCCTAATTTGTTAGTAACTTTGGAAAGGAGGATGTCTGTCCACACCAACGAAAGCAATAGAGCTGGGTTGCTCATTTGGTAGCGTAGGAATGTTATTGTCAGGAAAGTTTTAAGTTGATATCCACTTTAGTTGATTTCTGTTATTTCTTGATTGATTTTAGTATTTCTGAAATTTTTCGTTTGCCAACTGCTCATTGCAAGAGGTATAGTTGCATTTATTTATTATTTCTTTCATTTTTAGTTTTGAACTTGCATTTTAAAATTCAGAACATAGCAATTTTCTTGGAAAATCAATGTGACCTTATAATTATTAGAATGAATAGAATTAAATGTGTGCTTTATAAGAAGATCCCGACCTTGGATACACAGTCGGAAATGTTACTTCTTTGAGTCAATTCCTTGTGAAGTTTCTTCAACTTTAAAACAAACATCCCTTGTGAATGTCAGTCTATATTTGTCTGTGTGATTGTCGTGATGTTAGTCATCCCCGGAGCAGACAGTGACTCGAAGGATACCCATGTCTGGGCTTCACTTCAACAAAGATAGTCAATCGGTGGACGCTGAGCCCCTGGGTTAAAAGTACCAATAGCCTGACCTTGTTCCTGGACTCCAGACAGCACAAGTCTCCTGTCAAATCCTCAGAGAACCAGTCTGTAAATATTACTTCATTTTCCCCTCTCCCTGTTTTTATTTTTAGAATGAGGTAAAATGTGGTCTATGTATTGATGCATTCACGTTAACCCCATTGATTGACCTTCAGTGACCTTTGCAACGGAAGAGGTACCCGTCTCTAAACTGTTGAACCCAGTCAAATGTGCCCAGTGCCTTGTGGAGAACCTCAGACAGATTTTCGGGGCACCTCTTTGCATTTGCTGTCTGGCACACCAGCTGCCGTCGGCCAAACACCCTGAAAGGTTGAGTTTCCACTTGATTTGAAAAACTTGACGTTTCCAAGGTTGCACTGTTTTCCACCTCCAAGTCTTCAGCGATGCAGTTGACGTCATACTCTTCAGTCTTCTTAAACATGCAACAAGCTCACTCCAAACGGCTGTTTCATCCTCGTCATTGTTTTCTCAGCCTTTCCATCTTAGCAGCAGGTGTCTGTCTCTTAGCTGTCAAAAGAATTCTGTTGCTAGCATTTTGTAGCAACTGTAGTCTCAAACAGGCTGAAGTAGATGACACAGCGATGCTTAAGATGGCAAATTTGGCACTGTCATCATTTTTCAGGGCTAAAGTATGTATTTGGTCGCTGCACGCAGGATGATGCATTTTATTCCAGTTTGCTCCCTAGATTTTGTCCAAGCTAGTTCTCCAAGGCTGCTCTGGGCTGCTCTCCCGTCCCCATCACAGTCAGCCATGGCTTGACCTTGAGTTTCCTCCCCGCTCGAGTTCCACTGTTTGTGTCTGTCTTCCCTCCAACCTCAGCTGAGCAGAAACAGTGGCATCACATGATTTATGTGATTTTCTGTGGAAGCAGACATGTCTCAATCCTGGAGGAAACCATCTTCATCCTGTTCAGACCTGACCTTCCTTCACGCAGTCTAGCTCAGATGTTTACTTTGAGCAAGTTTCTGCCATCTTCAGTGCATCTGCCATCTTCAGAAGCAGTCACATATGATGTCTTACGTTGTAACAGACCACCCTCATGTCTTTGTGTTTTTCCTACTGTTTCTGACAGGTCTGAAACTACTGTCCTGCGTCCTTCAGGGTGCTCAGAAGCTAGTCACTTTAGGTGGCAAAGAAGCCATCTGTTCTGTGAAGCTCCCCTAATATCATCTCTCAGAGTTGCCTCAGGTGTCTGTCCTGATCTTGACAGCCAGGGCAACTTCAGTAACCTCCCAGTCTTCAGAATGAGCTGTTTGTGAAATCTATCGCACTCCATCATGATATCCCCCACCAGCATGTCTCACAATTGCTACTGGTGTCACACCTATGTCATATTTGTTAACCCCTCTTTGACACTTATCCTGAAAGCATGCTTTAGTTGACTATCGGCCTACTCTTTGGAGCAGAAGATTTACTCCTGTCATGTAGCTTCTGCCATCTTCTCAGTCCTCCCCAAGAAAGTTTCTCAGACAACACGCCTGTCCCACTTGCTCAGCCCTTCCTGACTTGGGTCTGTGGCTATCCAGCTGGCCTACCTCCTAGACGACATAATTACCTCACTTCTGGTAATTGATTTTCAAGTTCCACAATGTCGCTGGAGACATTTGAGCAGCCCCATCTTGGTGTAGCATCTACCTGTGCTTCCCGATCACGTGGAGCACAATTTGCTCCTTCGCCTCCTCCCAAGACGTGGAAACCAGCAACACCTCAAGTGACTCAGCAGCTTTCTTCCTTCAGATTGAATACCGTGAGACCACGTTAAGTTGTCCCAGACGCCACGCACATCTCGGATTGGGTGGGGACTTTGTCCCACGCAGGCCTGGTCCTACTTATCATCAGTCAGCTCTTCCATCACAACCATGTGGTCCATTTAATGGAGCTCAGAAGCCTAGGAGATTTGCTAAGCATATTTGCTGAGCAGAAATAGGTTGACGGCCAAGATGCAATGCATTGTATGTTATATATGACTGGTTCTCAGCCAATTTTAGCTTGGCAGATAAATTTGATGAGCAATATTTTCTCCTTGAGATTTTAGTTGCAACTCAGTTTTTCCTTTTTCACATCTTTTTTCTTTTTCCCCCCCTTTTTTGGACAGATTCAACAAGAAGGCGATAACCCTCCAACCTGCTGCAATTTCCCCGTTGCTGTTTCTAGGGACAGCATGTTTGTCTTCTCAGGACAGAGTGGTGCCAAAATCACCAATGACCTGTACAGATTCTGCTTTCAGGAGAAGAGGTGAGATACCAGACCCAGTAAAGAGACTGTCGTAAGACTGAGGTGCTTAGCAGTTAAATGTGGAAACAATCACTAAATGATTTCTCGTTTGATAGCCACAAGAAGATTGTAAATGTTTGAAATTTGTATGAGCTGAATGCAGCCCTGGTCTTCATATAGCTATTATTGCATGATGCAAAAGCTCATGGGGCTACAACAGTGTTGTTGTTTTAACTTATTTACTTAGTACTTACAAGTACTTTTAAAAACTAAAGTAACTTGCTGAAAGTACAGCATAATAAATAAATAGTAAAGTAAATTAAATAATAGTAAATTAATTTTGGATTTTTTTCCCCTTGCCCGACATGCATTTCAAATACACGTCAGACACTTTTTTCACGTCTGGCAAGGGGGAAAAAATGTAAAAATCCAAAATTAGTTTACATCTCCCCGGCACAAATCCATCCTTGGAATAGTTGTTCACAGTACCCGCTGCTACATCTGATTTGAACCAGCCAGCTGACACTGGCAAGCTCGGTGGTCGAGTGGTTAAGATGTCTGCACTAGTAAGCAGGTCGTGGGTTCGAGTCCCACCCAAGTATGCTTGTAGTTTTTTCACAAGCCTTCGGGGGCATACACTGAGCATACAGTGTTGAAATACACGTCAGGCAAGGGGAAAAAAAGAAACTCCAAAATTAATTTACTGAATCGACTTGTTCATCACTACAAGGAGGAAAGGACTGCTGCAGACATCATAAATAAATGCCCAGAAAACTGCTTTTGGAAGGATGTGATTTTCAGAAAATTGGAGTTAAGAGATGATATCAGTAAATGCATCACGCATAAATTCATGGCTGTTTTTCTCCATATCTCAGGCATGCCACTTTTCCTCAGATCAGCTGATTTCCTCATTTTTCACTTCACACTCATGCCATTGAAAATTGAAAGATTCTGTGCTGGTAAAGATTTGAATTTCCTCGTGAATGTCCAAGTTGCATGCCCGATATCTAAATGTGTTCCCATATTAAATTTTTACGGTGTGTTTTTTGTAACTGTAGATGGAGGAAGATTCAGTCAGATCACATCTTGAAAGGTACCCCGCCCCCTCCCCAGCGACGTTATGGGCACACCATGGTGGCTCATGACAGGCATCTCTACGTCTTCGGTGGAGCAGCCGATAACACCTTACCCAGTGAACAGTATTGGTAAGCATGTCTCCAGTTCCTTACTACACCCTCAATTTGGAAAAGCAGTACGTTATCATTGATATGGCGATGTTCAGACGGTTTCCAGAGGTGAGGGCATGTCTGTTGCCTGCATCTGTAGACCAAGACTTGCATGTAGCTCCAGTTTACAGTCTACTGCCATTTCTGCCATTTAGCCATGTGTGGATACAATTCTCTTGGACTAGATGCTACATTTTGTACACATTCAGTTGAAAATTGGTCACATGTATTGTGCATCACTTAAAATTTATCACGAATGGCAACTACACTGGTGGGGGGGAGGCTGGAAAATTGTCCACATTTTATCCTGCAAATTTTGCTTTTAAGAAGTAGTTTACACACCGAAGAAAACACCAGGCTTGGATGGCGTTGCTGGATCTTTGATGCACACGTTTTCAGTGTTTAAATAGTAGAGCAGTGATGTTGCAGAATTAAACAGTGTTGTTCTCCAAAGAAGAAGAAGTGATAATTAAGTATCAGCAAAGCAGACAGTCTGCAAAAAATGTCTGCAAAGACAAACAAAGATATCAAAGTTTGAAGCATTGGAATACACCTAACTGAGAGATTTCGAAAGAGGAGAAATTAAATGATCAAGGTTATTTTAAATGGATTGCTGATTGAGTACCTTTTGAGTACCAGTCCAGGGAATTGGGAATCAGTTCACAGGGCAGCCAGGACTACCATTTTCCCTGACATTATGCAGGAGGTTTTGAGTTTCAGCCTCAGAAAGGGGAAATGGAATTAACTTTGGTATTGTTATTGGAGGGGGAGATTGTGTGCACCTCCACAACTGCTGAAAAAACTTGGGACAGTTTCCACATATTTTTTGCTGAACCGTTCAGAGATTGACCTCATGGCCCACTTTTGTGTGGGTGTGTTAGCTAGCCTTGACCCTGAAAAGTCTAGTTTAAAAGGTAGCGAGCAGACGACGGGACCCAGCTAGTGTAGCTGGAGGAACGGTGTTAGTTGGCTCTGCTACGTGTACTAGTTTTCATCACATATATTAAGATCCATGCCGTTTATGTCATGAACACTGACAAAGATATGGTTTTGATGTCAGCTCACTGCAATGATATTTTGTAAGTACTGAGACGCGCCGGTTACTAAGTGGTTAGGCTGTGATGGTTGCTTAACAAATTTTCTGGCTTAGCAGAAATGATCTGGGAACCAGTCACAAATGATTGACATGGCAGTACAGTTTGGCTGGTTCCCCATCGACCTTGACTCGAAGGGCTGAGTGCATGCTCCTTCACTAGCCCCTGGTTATGTAGTATATGCAAATGATGCTGACTGGCTATTCAGAATGAATATACAAAACTTAAAGTGAATCGCACGCGTATTTCAAAAGCTGCACGCTCGCACCCACAGATTCTCTTTCATGTCATACAAGCGTAAATCTGCTTTGCACATAAACACTCTGACTAAAGGCCTAATTTAAATATCCCAAACAGTAGGATATTTAAATTATACGATACCAGGGGTTATATCATGCAAGGCATAGTGGGAACCAACATGGCACGGCAAGGTCGTACCCATGGGAACAAGGTTTGTTCCCATGGGTGTGAAGCAAAGATATATTGTGTTTTACACACTTGTGCTTCTTTGTGGCTCTGTGATCTTGGTCCCTGCGATGTTGAATTTTTGGTTTTTGTTTTTCTTCTCTTGTGTCTGTCAACTTTTTATTTTTCAGCTATGATTTGGATGCAGAGGAGTGGCAAGTGATTAAGGTTTCTCCGGATAGTCAGGTAAAGCACCACTTCCTTTGTCACTGGTGGAATGAAGGGGTATTTTTTACCGCTGTTGGGGGAGAGGGTGTTATGTTACCTTTCATCCGTTACCCTTAACTCCTGAGACATTTGTGCTAACCAGCAGGAAACTAATGACACATTTTGGAAGTTTCACACAAATTGGGACTTAGAGCTTTATGCAAAGTAGTAGTGTCTGGACTGGGCTGTCCTGAATCCATCAAATTACTGGAAAATATAGGTTGCTGGTTTTCTTCAATTATGCAAGTATCGTTGCTGTTTGAGTTTTACCTGTGTTCAGCACATGCTTTTTTTCATTTCTTGATCCTAACTTGATCTTTTTTCCGCAAATATGTGCAGATTTGCAAAATAACCGAATTTTAAGATGTTTGTTTCAGCTTTTCAAAGACAATTGATGTAGGAAGCAGTAATCAGAAGGCCTATGATACAGGTGGCTCATAACTTTTGTTTCAATTTTGCCATTTCAGAGTCCTTCAGGTAGACTATTCCATGCTGCTGCTGTGATAGGGGACGCCATGTTCATCTTTGGAGGGACTGTGGACAACAACGTCCGAAGCTCAGAGATGTACAGATTCCAGGTAAGGCTTAGAGCTGATTGAGATTGAGATTCTTGAAAAGTGCTTCAAAGTGTCTGAGGATGTTGGTACAGGTGTCTTGGGGTTGGAAATTGGAAGGAGCATATTTAAGTTCAAATCTTTGATCTGTAACCTTTCTGGTTCTGTGACATCTTTGGTCTTTAATTCCAAAGAATCCTTGATGGGAACCTTCTTGAATCCTCCCAAATCCTCCACTTTGTAGAAAAACCAGTGCCACGTTCTTTGCACTTTGAAAACTCTAGATGAAGACATCAAGTCTCATTGGTGATCCACTCTGTCAAAATGAGTCACAACTCGCCAGAGCCATTTTTGAGATAAGGCATCTTGCCTTTCCATGTTCCAATGAGTAACATCAAGTTAGAGGCATTAACTTCTGGAACGGTCAAAAGTGCAGCATACATGTATGTCTGTAAGATCTTCTGTCTAGGCCGAAGATTGTATGTCATGTGACTGGCTTGATGCCAGTGAGGTTCTAAATGAAGGGGTTGGATCCCTTTGGAATGACTGAGTTGATTCAGCATAGTGGAATGACCTCATTACAATGGCAGTTATTCTAAATTGGGCCGAGCTTAGCAGAGAAGTTGCACTGGCATTGAGGGCCTGAAGGTCACAAAGGTCACAACCCCTGCTCTGGATAACATCTTCAGTTGACCTTTTTTGTCAATATTACTCCAAGCCACCAAAGACCAATTTAAAATTGTCTATCTCACTGCTTAAAAATCTGGGATTTAGACTTTGTGTAGGCTTTATCATTTTAACAGCATGTATTTGGATCCACTTAAAGTAAGAAGTACTACTCTTTAATGAGTCAGAGCTTTGAATCGTTTTTTTCATAAGCTTTCCACTGAGATGTTGGAAAATTAAATCTTTATTTTAAATCAAATTCAGTTTTTAAACCAGATCATTACCTTAATTTTATTTTGCTTTGCGCCAGCTGTGAAAAGCTGACTTGTTTCCTAGATATTTTTAAACATGGATATCTACATGTACAATTTAGTGACTCAATATATTAACACAAAATACCTGATCATTTTAATTCTGAAGCGTTCTTTTTCCCCTTAACAATATACCCTCTTTTTTTAATGCTTTGATGCCGGGACTTTTTTCTGAAAGCCGACTCCGAGAATTCTAGCCTCACTTGGCCACGAAGGCCACCTGCCAAACCGCAAATTCTCAGTTTGTGGCCCTGCGTGCTCTGCACGCTTTGAGTTACACAGTGAAAAGGCTCATTGTTTGGTGGCATGCGGCTCTATTCACGCTTCCATGTTCCCATTGCCTCTTTTCAAAGTGGAGACTATTGTGAAGCTGGTGATTATGATGCAAAATTCGGCCTTTTCATATCTTGGCAACACACAAAGGCCAATCACCATATATACAAGAGCCAGTGTATGCCTTCTTTCACCGTGTTTGCTCAAGCGTGGGCCGAGAATAAAAGCTGAAAAGCGGGCTGAGGGATCTCAAGTTTTACGGCGGCTCTTACCGCTTCCTGATGCAAAGGGGTTCTAAAGTTTTTCCAGCTTCTAGTTCCTGAGCCAGATTCATGCCCGGAGTGCGTTCACCAGGAGCAAACGTTTGCCCTAGTTTTTCAAGTCAATCGATCAGATTCAAGAAAAAAATCACAAATAGGTGTTGCCAGAACCTAGACGGAAAAACAGACGAGAACTGCTGCTGTGAAGGAAGCAGCACATTTCCTCCTCTGAAACCACCAAACTTCTTTCCTGTTCCCTAGTCTCTCCACGCTCGCTAGATCACTCCCCTTGGTGGTGTCATCTGTCATTGGACAGATGATGTCACCCCATGTGGTGCCCTTCAAGTCCCCTCAAAGCATAGCTAGTGACACTGTCTGTTAGATAGCATTCATTGTCTCAGTGACAACTGATACTGAATTTCCGTCTTAGAAAAAAAACAGGAGAGAAATGAAGGATGTCACAGGATTTGTGGTCAGTCCACAGGGTGAGGGGGTCTTTAGAAGGGAATGGGGGGGGGATTTGGCGGTCATCCCAAGGGTCATATTCGGAAGTTACTCATTGAGACCAAGGGAACTTGATGTGCTTATGGTTTTGCTCATCATAATAAATATTGACCATCTTAACAAGATGCATAGAATAACTAAGCCAGGGAGGGTTCAGTATCTTTGAGGAGTTTCACCGCTTTAAGAGTGGAATCTTTTGGATTGGATTCTTGACAATTACAATTCTGTTGAGTTTTGTCAATTCCTTTTTCAGTTTTTACCACTTTGAGTTCTAGTCCTGTCGCTAGTGTAGGTTCAGTGCTCAAGAAATTTCTGCTATGTTGTATTTCTGTTAGAAAGTTATGTTGGCTCTGATGAGAAGGTTTGCTTTTTAATGTGCCAGTAATAAGAAACTTGTGATGCCTGGGACTGGGATGATGTCTGCAAGAAACAACACTTCAATCTCTCAAAGTGCAAGTCAGTCAACGCTGTCATATCATATCTGTGACTCGTCAAAATCAAGATGAAAAAACATGTTTTTGTGTCTAACTCTGCAAGCGTCTTGTCCAGAATCAACTTGTATCCTCCTGAAAGTGCCCATTTTGATGTCAGTAGTTTTTAACGAAGCTTGAAGTTTTGGTGATTTCTGGAGCACAGTCCCCTGGAGTATGAGGCATCAGTGTCTGACAACATTTCTGTTTGTTTTGGTCGTACATTGTCATATCCTTTGCCTCAGTTAAAGACTTCCCCAGATAGACTAGTTTTCCTGGTTTTAATTAAAACGATGTGTCTAACATAAACAAGTGGAAAGGCTTGCAGTAGCATCATGCGAAGGAATATATCTCGCTTATGAGTATGTGTGGTTCTGAAAAGTACTCTCGGTTCTTTTCAGAACTACACGTACTCACAAGTGAGATATATTCCTTTGCATGGTGCTACCGCAAGCCTTTCCACCTGTTGGTGTCCTTCACAATGATATAGCCTGAAATTCCATCGTGTCTAACATAGCGGTACTTTCTCCAATAATAACTCTACTCAGATATAAGTGCAACTAATCACAAAATTCAAGCCAATCAAACTACACTTTGAGTTTCCAAGTATTATTTGTTCCAACCTGAATCTATGCGCACCTTTAACTCCTCCTTCACTAACTGGTCCAATTTGAAGAAATCCACCTACCCTGACAGCCAGTGTTTCCTGTTCCCACACGCATGCTGCCACCTGTAGCCGGCCTACGCTGCCTAACTGGCACTATCTTATGTTAATTAGAGCCAGTTTGTCTACCTGCATGAACGGCCTGTGACTCAACACTTCCAAAACGGTGCTGGTCAAAAGCGCGATCTTGCCGCACCAGGTGAAAAACACCTCCTCAGAGCTTCCTGGAGCAGAAGGCAACCTCGGCTGTATTTTTTGCCTGCTCGTCGTCTCTGAACCTGACCCAGAGTTTGATTTCATTTCTAGGAAATATCATTCAGCCCGGATGACCTGTATGAAAGCAGAAGCTTCAAGACAAGATCAGAGCCTCCAGCAACCAGTAAATCAACCATAACTTTGTGGTATTCTGTCCTGGTAGCCACTCTCTCAGCACGGTCTTAAAATGTATCCTTTTATTTGATTTTTTTTCCCCAGTTTGCATCCTACCCACGATGCACCCTGAAGGATGACTTCGGTAGACTTCTCCTCAGTCAGCAATTCACTGATGTAGAGTTCCTTGTAGGCGAGGTAAGATCTTGCCCGCAGGTCATATCAGTCTGCAGCTCTAGAATAAAAACTACTCAAAAGGTATATGAAATTCATATTTTGAAAACGTGTTCAATCTGAACTCTCTAAAGCTGGGTGCTGCTACTTGCTTTTGGTGCACTAGCTGTTTAATTTCAAAATGGTGAAACCCTGAGATAAAGTTGAAAACAGTTTTCTGTGTGCATGGCATTATTTTCTGTGAAGAAATCTGTGTCTCAACTTTGTAACAATTTGACAAGAGCGTGTTCAGGCCTGACATGAAGTGATGTATTCAAATTGAATAGATCAGTGGATGTTGCAGCTGTGTACTGTGAGTACTGTGAGTAACTGTGAGTTTTCCTCTGTCCTTATTTCACAGAAAGGTACAGTTGTTCCAGGACACACAGCTATCATCGTACCTCGATGCCGCTACCTCCGACACAAGATAGCACAGGCTAAGGAACGACAGTTAGCAGAACAGGTAAGTGGGTCCTGCCGTCGGATAGGGTAAACTTAGCTGTTTGGGTATGGCCCCAAGTTTCCCAGTCCCCAACAAGTTCCATTAAGTGTTTTCAATTTTTTTGCCGAAGCTGACTTTGCATGGCAGATGTGTTTTGTGACTTCAAAGTTGGGTGGTATTTTTGAATGCGCACTCACTTCATACAACACACATTACAAGGCTGAAGAGTACAGCACCAGTACCTTGTTTTGGTCGGTTAGCGGTTTGAATCCTACTTCTCAAAATTTTCAGAAACCAAAATCATTGTCCATTTTTTCAGAGTGATTCCCAGTCGGAGGCAGAGAGTAACAGTCCCTCCACAGACAAGGACGAGGAAATCCAACAGGGCATGAATGGGAAGAAGCCGTACCAGGTGACCATCAAGAACACCCGACCTGAAGCCTTTCAGCTCCTGCTGTGGTTTCTCTACACTGACAAGGCCGACCACAGAACCCAGGATATACAGAGTGAGTAAGATTCAGACTGGGCTTAGTAAGCCCCAAGGACTATGTCTATCATCTTGTGCTTTGCAGATTTGTTTTTCCAATCTGAAATCTAATTATTCTTCTCCATCCATCAAATCTTAGATTCTGCCGATAAAACGACAGAATTCCTTCTCCTACTTATGGATGTCTATAAACTGGCCCTGGAGGTAAGGCACTTCGTTTTTATTTCAAGCTTGTTTTTAGTATTTTTTTCAAATTAACGGCTGTAATTTTCATGGAAAATTCTGAAAATTCTGATATTGAGCAGCCAATGTTGTGTTCGTGTGCTTTACAAGTCTCAGTAATTGATGAGTAAGTTTCAGTTGCCATCTTTATCCATGATGTTCCCCTTTTCCCCTTTTTGCAGTTTTCCATCAGCCGTTTAGAGCATATGTGTGTTCATTATCTCTGGGTGTCTATCACCAACTCCAATGTACTTCAGGTACTGCAGTGCGCTAGCAAACTCAAACTCGATTTGATCAAGGTGAGACAGACGACCGCAAAACTGATGCAACGTCATGGTTTTATTTGTGTTATCCTGTTGCCTGACGTCTTGATTCTGGAACCAACCGTAGTGTTATTTCTCAAGATTTTTCTGGGATTTGATCTGAAAGTTGTAGATTTGGTAAAGATTTAGGCAGTTCTGTTTTGCTGTGTTTTAGCACTTTGCACAAAAAAATCCAAGTGCAAGACACTTGTAATGACTGCCATTTAAGGACTCAAAAACCGTAATGAATCATTCTTCATTTGAATAACAATAAATATTGTCAACATTACATAAGAAATGATGTGCCTGATGGGCAGGGTTAGTTGGGTTTTGCCCAAAGTATCCTATTGGTGAATATCAACACTTTCTAAGTACGTGTTATGATAAATGTTTCTTTGCTTCTTTACTTCCCAGGAATTCTGCATGAACTTTGTGGTTAAAGAGAGTAATTACAGCGCCATTGTCATGAGCAAGGAGTTTGAAGGTTTGAGCCAACCGTTGATGGTGGAGGTAGTCAGGAGGCGACAATTGGCGTCAGGGAGACCCTACCAACATGAAAAGATGCCAGACTTCAACAGGTCATGTGAGTGTGTTGGGGGGGGTACCACTCTAACCGGAAACTAGAGAGGGCGTGCTTTTAAATCGCATCAATGGTCCTTTGGTAGGAACTCAGTACCTGCGTGCACAGGTTCATGCACATTTGGCACGAGACATTCTGAGGGCACACGATTAGTTTCTATTGGAATCTGCAGTTTCTGCTTGTACACCTAGCCCATGCATGAGCCTGATTGAAAACTTCTCACAAGCCAGTCGCTTGTTTGCCATTGAGGGCGCCCTTGCACTCAGAGCACATATACACAGGCACAAGCCAGCCTTGTGTGTCAAATTTTCTCCAACTCCTGGCCAGTTTTTCAAGTGCTCTTCAGAGTTCACTTTGAAGCCAGAACACTTTTTCTTTTTTAAATTATTACTACTTGTTCTCTCTGAGTAGGAGACCCCCCCTGAATTGGGAGAGGAAAGTATGGGGGTTTCGATTGGACATTTAGTGCCCGCACGAAAACCGCACATTTAAAAAGATATAGATCTTTTTATAAAGATATATGAAGTACAATGTATTGTACTTCATTTGAATAAACCATAAGGGGTACCCTGAGATTTAGTAATCTGAATATTTAGTCCTTTAATTACAAGTTTATGTAGACATATGTTTATACTTGGAGTTGTTTTTTTTTAGCCCGGGACTTTGTCTTTGCATTGCAGATGAATGTCTAGAGCAAGACATGGAAACTTTCTTGAAGGGCAAACTTGGCCAGGAGTATGCAGACATCACCCTGATGCTGGACGGCACGGCCATACCTGCTCACAAGGCCGTGCTGGCTGCCAGGAGTAGTTTCTTTGAGGCCATGTTCCGCTCCTTCATGCCTGAGGATCGCTCTGTCAACGTAAGTCAACCCCCCCCATTGAGAGTTTGTAACAAGTTATTATTTGGTCATGTGTATTTCTGAAGTAAAGATTGTTCACTGCTTTTGTTTGTTAAACAGACCAGTTGGAAGTGTTTTTTGGTCGTCATTTATGTCTTTATTTAAGCATTCACAAAGACGAGCACGTTGAAAGCCTAGGTCGTTTATATCAAGGACACAAGATTGAAAATGAATAACAATTTGGAAAGATTCTAAAGCAAGGCGAAAAAAAACCATTTACATGAAGTGTGAATACGAATTGTAAATCTACTAACACATGAGTTAGAAACAAACAAAAAGTTGGAAGGAATTAAATTACCAATAGAAGATACAATAATTCACCATTATATTTAATAAACTAAACAATTAGCAAAGTAATTAATCCGTATAATCAGTGTATCTAATTCGACAGGACTGTTAGTCATCAATTGTGTCGATCTAGTTAACAGAGTAATTTACGTTGCCAAACTGCAAGAGGTTAACCACATTTTGTAAAGTATAAAGCAGTATTTAAAAGGGCTCAGGGAAAAGAATTAAATGAATCATAATAGCACTATGTTACACCTTTGTGTCCTCTACAAATTTTCAGAATTTTCCTCAAAAGACGTCGTCTCCTCAG